CCAGACGGCGCTAGAGCCTGGGGAAGAGCATCTGAACCTCGGCTTGGACGTGGACGCCCTCCGGGGAGTTTCCATAGACGGGAGGGTCGGGAAGGCCGTTTCCAGCTGAGCATTGGTGGCCCAGGCGAGCCTAGAGCCGCAGGAGGAATGCCCCTGACCCTGGGGGAGAAAGATGGGGTGGAAAAGAAACACAGCTCCTTGCTTGTTTGAGCTCTTGGGAGCTTCGTGAGGCAGGGTTTATGAATCCCCATTTGGCAGGGTAGGAAACCCGCCCTGAAGGTGAAGTGTAAAGGTTACACTCTCTTAGAATTTAGAGAGCCCTTTTCTGGAGGAGGGAGCCTGGGAGGGAGGCCTGGAAGTCGCCCTTAGGCCTTCTGTCTAGTTCTAGACTGGGGAAAGCTTTCATGTGCTCATGCTCACCAATCCCCCAGGCCTCTCAAACAGCCAGACTTGGAGACCCTGCGAGCTCCCTCTCCCAGGCCTGGGTTCTCCCCTTCTTTCCTGCCTGAAGGTGGTGGGTTTGGGCAAGTTCACCCCTAGAGCCAGACAGCTTAGTGCCTCCTTGCATCACTGAATAGGAGAAGGTAGCCCCGAGGTGGGGGAGCAGGAAAAGGTAGCCAACCCGAGGATCAGGATGAAGTCATGTGGCCCAGGACGGAGCCTGATTCAGCAAGATGAGTCATTTTGAGCCCCTTCAACTCCCCTTGTGTCTATTGCAGTGGGATCCAGGCACCAGCATATGATGTAGAAAGTGGAATCTGTTTAATGAGCAACAATCTGCCCTTCCACCCTCTCTCCCAACTGCACGGTACCTGAAGAGAGGCCAGGCCAGGCTTAAAGAGAAGTTGTGGCGTTCCCAAGGCCTTGGCAGATGAGAAGGGCCAAGCCTTGCTTCCTCTTCCTTGAATTTGGGGCTGGGGACAGTCCAGTGAGAAACTCAGTCCATCTCTGCATCACCATCCAGCCCTTCTCCCTGGAGCATGAAGCCCGTTTACTGATTCCAAAGCTCAGCCCCCCAGGGAGGCTCTCTCCTTCCCAGCTGACCCTAGCCCTGGACCTGGTCTAGAGTACTCACTCCTTTGTTGGGGGCAGTTGACTAGGCACCAATGCCCCCGTGCAGTGGCTAGGAAGTGGGTCCTTGGTGAGTGGCTGACAGGCGTTCCCTGCCACCCCTAGAAAGCCCTGTTCGAGCAGTTCGCTGAGGTGTTCCCGTTGAAGGTGTTCGGCTACCAGCCAGATCCCATGAGCTACCAAGTGACTGTAGGCTGGTTGGAACTGCTGGCTGGGTTGCTGCTGGCCCTGGGCCCACCAAAGCTGCAAGAGATCAGTAACTTTCTCTTGATCGTGCTCATGATGGGTAAGGGGCGCCCCCTTGGGCAGAGGGAAGGAGGAATTCTTGGGGAGGATGATGGGAAGGCCCGGCTGTTCCTCTGTTCCCCATTACTATTGTCCGCCCCCCCCCCTTTTTTTTCTCTGGGACCAGGAGCACTTCCGGCTGTATTACAGTTTCCATGGTCTTCAGACTAGGACAGGTGCTTTTCAAACTCAATCTACTGTAACACCACTGATGCCAACTGTACCTTCTACCTCATCCATTCTATTGGCTGTGTGCTAGTCCATCATAAGGATGTATTATAATGTAACCTAAAAGCCCCTACTGCTCCCCCCCACATCCCACCCCTGAGATGAGAGGATAGAGCAGCATTTGCCACCTGACCTATGTGTCTGGCAGTTGGGAACCAAGAAGCTGAGCCCCCTGAAGAGAAAGGCAGAGAATTTGCCTGGGGCTAGAAGTCTTGGAGGGACCCCCTCATAGCAGCTCTGCTCACAGGAACTGCTGATGTACAAAGACAGCTGCTGCTTCTATGCCTCCCAGGTCTCGTTTCACCTTTGCTGCCACCACCATCACCCTGCCCCAGGCTTTCTTTCCATCTCTGGAGCTTCCCTGATTTTCAAATCTTTCACTTCCACCACCAACCCCTGGGCCTCCTTCCCTCCAGCAGGATTAAGAAAGGAGTAGGAGCAGGGAGAATTTGTTCCAAAATGGCTATCTCGCCACCTTCTTGCCCTATTTGGCTGGATTGTTCCTTTTTCTTTCTTGCTCTCTGAGAGGGGTTCCATTAATCCCAAAAGCTTCTGATTCCTGGTCCTGCTTTCTCTGTGAGGCCATGGAGACAAGTGCACCTAGTGTAGGGTGTGTGCGTGGGGGGTGCTTAAGGGGAGCACTTGAGCTGGTCGGCCTAGGCTGGAGAGCCCTGAGCTCCTGGATCTCCTGCGTGCCCCAGGGAGCCTCAGAGACCTGACTTTCCATTCCAGGGTCCATCTTCACGTTGGTGTCTCTGAAGGAGTCACTGAACACCTGCATCCCGGCTGTCGTCTGCCTGGCGCTCCTGGTGCTGCTGGATATCTGCCAGTTCTTAGTCAGAACTGGGAAGGTGGTCAGACCCATAAGGAAGAAGAGGCCAAGTTCGGCCAAGGGATCCTGAGAGTAGAGGACCTCTTGCCTCTCGGTGCCATGTCACTGTCACAGCAGGCACACAGAGGGACACAGAGTCCACCACCTTGTTACCGATACAATACCTCCAGGGTCAAAGTATGGCCATTGTTGAAATAGACATCTTGCCTACCTGGGCCTACTTTCTCTCTTGGACATCTACTGCTCTTTTTGATGTCTACTAGCATTCCTCTTGTCATGTGAAAATAAGCAGAAAAGAAATTTAACCCACAAGGTTAATGCCCCCAAATAACTATTTTCAAGTCCTTTGTTTAACTGTACTTTTCAACTTTTTTCTATGCTTCTATACAGATTTTAAAAAATGAACATGAGACCATATGTACTATTTTCTTACTGGCTTTTGAAAGCTAATACACCATGCCTGTTTGACCTTGTTGCTGATGCCTGTGTATGTGCCGTTGTAAGGTTGTACTGTAATGCATTTACTCATGTCCCCATGCGGGAACATTTGGATTGTTTCCAATTTTTTGCTGTTGTAAAACCTCACAGTGAATCACCTTTGCACACCTATTTTCCTTCCCTAGAAGTGTCAGTGCTGGTTCAACAGGCATGCACGTTTGTAAGGCTTTTATCACGTACACATTGAGTGTGGCAGAGTACAAGTGCGTGCTTCTGCCTGCGCCCTTCCGAGCCACATGAAGTATTCCCTTCTGTTTCTTCTTATCTTGGGCACTTTTGCTCTGCAGAACGAACCGAGGACCTGAAGCTGCCAGCCTCTGGCGGTGAGGTGGGGCACTCAGTGCGGTGCTCCTTGGAACGACATGGAGGCAGGGGACAGTCAGCTCCAAGGGGTGCTGCCTGTTAAAGCTGTGCCAGAAGCCGGGGTGAGTCCCAGAGGTCCTAGGGAGTTAGAAGGATGTGAGTGTGGCCAGGCTCAAGGAACAGTGACCATGTTAGGGCACCTCTGTCACATTACCGACCATCTTTACCTCATACACACACACACACACACACACACACACACACACACACACATTAGTGCACACACTGGTATAGAGTGTCAAAACAATAAGGAAGCTGTCACATAAGAGATCCAGAGATAACATAGATTCAATGTAGGCTGCCTTATGATGACATCAAATACTTTTTTTTTTCCAACTTTCTGCTCTGCTTTCAATGCACTGGCTACTGCCCTCAGGGATGCATAATAGTTGCAGCAGCTCCAGAGTGCACATTTGCACATAACATCCCAAGGTGAAAAGAAAGAGGAAAGCTCTCTTAGAAGACCCCTAGGTTTCCCCTCACACCCCACTGGTCAGAATTATGTCACATTTTCATTACGAGACCAATCAGCAGCAAGGAGGATGGACTTCCCATGATGGAATTAAACTAGTTAAGATCTACCACACTGGTCAGCAAGGGAGGGGGTAGAAAACGGTTTCTGCGGCTTCCTAGCTTATTTGCAGAATATGTTTAATAATGGTAAATATTTCTCAGAGTTGCTGTGGGGATTTAGTGGGTTGAAGTGTTTACAGTAGTGCCTGGCACATAATAAGTGTTCAGTAAACACTATTATTAAATACTGCTGGTTCTACCGATGAGAAAACGGATTCAGAAAGCTTAAGTGCCCATGTGTCAGATCTGAGACTAGAATTAAGGCCTGATTGACTCCAGAATGCACAATTTCCACTGCACCAGCTGCCAAAGTCGGAAGTGGGCAGGCAGGGCGCTCCCGCTCTCTTCAACTTGAGGGTACATGGGATCATCTGCCCAATGTGATTAAGTCTGCCTTGCTTTCCAGAATTGCCCTCTGCATGAAAATGTTAAGCTCATGAAAGTAGAGCCTGAAGCCCCTAGAATCCTGGCTCCTTATCATCTCCACCCCTCCCAGGCTGCCAGGACTTGGAGTAAAACCTCTCACAGCTGGCATAGGCTGAGGACTCCTGTTTACCAAGGCTTGACCTGTAAGCTGATTAGTTGCTACAGGGCCCCCACGCCTGGCTGTGGGAAAGGCAGGGTGTGGAGGAGTGGGCTGGCCAGCTGGTGAGGAGGAGCAATTAGAATTGACAGCAGCAGG